GGGGGGGCCAAGCCCAGATTCACCTCCCCCAGGCCTGCTGCCAGAGGAGGGAGAGGAGGAGGGCCTGCTAGCCCATTCCCTGGGGCTGAGAATGGACTCACAAAGGGGGCATTATTGAGGTTCCCCATGGTGTTTCGGAGAAAGTTAAATTCCTCCCCACTAATCCCCGCAAATGGGTTGATCTGGGGTTGCTGGGGACTGGGCTGGGCTTGCTGATGCTGGTTCTGATTTGGATTCTGCTGGTTCTGGTTGCGTTGGCCCCTCTTGTTCTGAGGAGGTGGATTCCTCTCAATTTCCTTCATTTGATCAAAGGTCACCAGGTGGACAAAGGCATCGCGGCCATTGAGTTTTTGGCGGTGCAGTCTTTCAGCCTTCCGGGCGTCTTCCTCGGTCCGCAGTTGAAAGACAGATTGTCCTAAACCATTACCATGGGTATCTGTCAGAACCTTAAGGGTGTCCTCGTAAAGCCCCACACCCTCCAGAAAGACACGGACATCCTTCTTGGAGACATTGTAAGGGATGTTGGTGATGTGGGCACAGTTCCTGGGAACTTTCAAGCCATCCTGGTTCTTGCCATCACCCTGTGTTGTTTCACGCTTGCGAATGGTGTCTATTTTTTCAAGCATTCCCTTACGGCTGATTGGGTGGACCTGAATGAAGCGGGTGCCCATATACTGCATGTGAGCTCCCAGAGCAGTCTTGTAGTCCTGTTCTGCTCTGAACTCAAGGAAGCCCTCTCCTGTGGCTCGCCCGTTGGGCCCATAAGCAATGAAGACGCTTTCCTCCATGACGGACAAATTATTAAAGAACTCTTTTATCTGTTTCTTGTCGGCCTCATAGGGCAGGCCCTTCAGGTAGACACAGAATTCCTGCCGGTGCGGAGATCGTGACCTTCCCCGCTGTTCCCTGCCTCCTTGCATGACATTACCCCGGCGATGATGCTGTTCCTGTGACTCGTTGCTGTTATTTGATTTGCTGATATTGTGAGGTGCATGACTTATCATGCCGTCATGGAGGCTGGCCCATTGCCGCTCAGAGCCTGGAGTGATCTCAATGAACCGTTGGCCCATCATGCCACCTCCCCTCTTCACAGCTTCGAAGCTGTCCTGGGGCGAGAAGAACTTGACCATAGCCCTGCCAGTTGGCCGACCCTGCCCGTCTCGCAGCAGACGAGCCCCTTCCACCCCCAGACCCCGAAAAAACTCCCTGACCTCCATCTCTGAGCAGGAGAACGGGAGGTTCTGCAGGAGGACAAACAACTCATCGGGATGGGAAACTCCAGCTCCGGCCGCTGCTGCAGCAGCAGCAGCTTTCATATGAGCCTGGAGGCCCAGAGAAGCAAGAGGGGAGAGAGGGTTGAACAGCATGGGGTTGGGGGTTCCAAGAGGGAGGCCTGAACCCATTCCTCCTGGGGGAGGTAGGGAGGGGTTGAAGGGAGGCATTGAGGACATGTGGGAAAGGTGGGACATAGGAGGCACTGGATGTCCTTGGGACATGGACGAGACAGTAGGTAAAGGGGGAAGGGAGGACACTGGAGGAGGAACTGGAATGGTGGGCATCGTGGGCATGGGGGGCATGGAAGGCATGCTGGGAAGTGGAGGGATGGGTGGGGGGCATGCATTGAGCGATGCGAGAGATGCGGTGATTGAGGGGCCGGAGCTGTAACTGTTGGGGAAGCTGGGCACCACATTGACCGCTCCCTTGTTGCTTGGTGGCTCGTGCGATGAGCTCGCTGACGTCACTGAGACTGGGGCATTCATGAAACCTTGATTTCCATGGCTGCTGCTTCTCCCTCCCCCTCCCCCTTGCTGCACCGTTGGTATGGGGGCAGAGCCAGCTTGTCGATTAACATTGCCTGATGCAGGTGTGACCGTCTCCACAGCACCCGCCCCAGCCTCAAACCTGCGGCGGCTGAGTTCGATCATGTTCTGCATCTCCGTCTTGCTGCTGAGCAACAGCGACACCTTGGAGGTCTTGATGGATCCGCCTGTGCGCATCATCCCCAGCCGAGCGTCTTCGTCGGTGGCAAAGACAATGAAGGCTTCGCCGTGCTCACCCCCAACGATGTGCACTCCCCCGTCAGGGATGGTTAGGCCAGAGAAGAAGTGTCTGATGTCCATGGTGCCGGCCACTATGGGCAGACCCTGCAGCCTGATGACTACCGCCATACTGACTGCTAAACAACAGCCCTACAACCTGGGAAAAAAAGCAACACTACCGTCAGATGAAGAGCAAAAGAAAAGAGAGACCAGTGGTTTCCAGATGTTTCCCCAGGGAACTCAGATCTGACTTCGTAGGTCACATAAAGCTTAGCCAACACTGCTAATTCTAACACTGCTATTTCAGTTTCTTCAGAATAACCCCGACACCATGTTTATATTTTTGGGTCCGGACATTTGGAAACCATTGGTATTTAAAAGGGGTTTGGGGGTGAACAAATGTGCAGGAAACTAGCAAGAGAGCTTAACTGTAACTGTCTCCATCCATCTGAAGCCTTTAGTAAGTTTGATTAACTTGTTACAGATCTTAAGAGATTATGATGCAGGCAAGACTTTTTGTTAAACCATAACAGAAACAATCTTAAGCAATAACATAGCTCCACTGTTCATTAATCTGTTCAAGTTTTGTGAAAGAAATGCATAGAAATAATGAATACATATGTACATACATTAGGCTTGGGCTATATGGTGAGATTATTTTTCCACACAGTATTGGCTGGCCACAACTAGTGGTCCTCACATGTCCACGTTAACAGAATATTCAATTATGCAAAACCTATTGCTAGCATACCACAGATACCGTATGAAATTGCAAATACTAGTGCTGTAGTGAATGTCTTTATGTTTAACGTTCAAAACTCTGATTGATGTTTTCGAATGAAGCTTGGATGTCTGTCGTCATGATTTACGACATTATCTCCCGAAAAAAAAAATGGGGAAAATGTGTTTGTTATTGTGGTTGTATAAATATATGTTATGGTGCTGTTAGATTGCTGCTAGACCACCCAGTTAATACAGGGGCGTGCGGGAAAGTTACATTTTTTATCTAAAATACTGACATTTGTCAATAAAAATAAATAGCATCAATAACTCCCTGAACGCTGTGGGGGACGGACTTGCCATCCAGTCTGTCTTTTGGTTCGTTCTGCTAAGTGATACATTCAGACAATGCCGTTGTAATTTAATGTTTGAAGTGTACAGATATACCAGACTTCAGTTCAACAATGTCGCCATACAGTTTGACACAAATCATTGCAAATCGAGCTTTATTAACCCGGCTTACCGTACTACAAACGGCTACAGTTTAAGGAGGGCAAATAGTGAATGTGCTGCCAAAACATTTTTGGCAAAGACTCGTGCTCCAGAATTTCCATGTGTGCAAATAGCAGACATAAACAGCAGTTTGGGTCACATGGCGTACTGAAAGGATGTCGCGTACCAAACAGAAAGGTTTGGGGCGAATACATGTACCGTCCCCTTTGTGTTTCAGCTCAATGCCACAAAAATGATGCAACTTATTTAGTTTGTCTCTTTGGCTCCTTTAAGTAACCCTGACTGTTGTCTACCATGCAGTACAAATACATTGCTTGTAGTCTGAAATAGTTAACCTTCATAAATTTCATGCAACTTGCAACTCACCAATGCAACTAGGCTGTGTGTATAGTTTCACTGTTCAACAGACAGGATTTCTGCAGGATGCTGAAACCTGGTGAAAAGGTCAGATAAAAAAAAAATAAAAAAAATAAAATAAAAAAAAAACACATTCCTGTTCAGAACAGTTTGATGGAATTTAACTTTTCACAGAATACACTGGAAGTAGGCGGAGTTTTGGTGTTTTCAGCAGTTGGCAGGCAGAATAACTGACTCATTCAGTTTTAAAAGATAATCGAATATTTACAGAGCTTTGTGTGGTGTGTATGATTTCAGCCTTACTCCGAAAAGGTTGTCTTTACCCTCAACACAACACCAATAAAAACTACCACACCCAAGAATCTCAACAGCCACAAAAGGCTTAAAACTAGCAGCAGAAAATAAACTAATCAGAAATCAGTGCAGCCGCTTTCCTGCCGAAGACACACCTGCCTAACTAAAACCCATCATGGCTAAAGCCTGGCAGTGTACGCCAAACATCAAACTACACTCCAACAACCATCAGAACAAACAGTGAACTAAAGACTGGACATACTGAACTGCAACCAGCCAGCATGTTCTAGCATGTCCAACACCAAGTAACAACCCAGGCAACCAGCAACAAACAGGTGAGCAGGACTGATGCTTCTGCTTCCTGAATCCTCAAACAGCACCAAATCAGCCGCACAACTTCAGCAACTTCACACAAGCAACATGTCAACCTGCAAATCTGTTATACATTGACAAAAAAACATCATGAGCAACAGCGGTAACTTGCCAACCAGAGCAATGTCACCAACATTTTTAACAAAAAGGCAATGTCAGATACATTTTAAACCAGAGCAACATTAGCATTATATCAACCAGAGCGACATTAGCATTATGTAATCCAGAGCAACATCAGCAACTGATTGACAGCACAGCACCACAGACAGCAGCTGATCAGAAGGGAAAGCAAACAGAAGTAAGGCGCAGAGCAACTGAGAAATAGCAAATGGAGCAACGCTCGCTGCAACCACAATCCTCTGGATCTTCAGACACATCTTCAGGTTCTGTTCACCAACTGACCCTGATCCAGGACTGTCAGACATCATGGTCATGAACGGAGATCTGACTAAACTGTGACATGTCAGGCAGTCTTAAGGTGTGAGGCTGCTACCTGCAGCAACATGAATGAGGTTATTGCTCAACCTCAGCACAGATAATTCACACCAACACTGACATTTGATTGCCTCATAATGCTTCTTCAAGATTGACTTTTTTATGAATTTCCAACCTGGACATTCACTTGTGATGTTATTACTTCTGGGTGTCAACCTGCAGACAGTCTGTGAGAAACATCAACAGCAGAAAGAGGATCAAACACAGCAGGAAGAGGAAACAGCAACAGCTAATAATGTCAGAAGCAACCAGAGTACCCAGAGAGAGGTGAAAAGGTTCAACTGAGGCTGAAGTTTGCATTCAACAGAAACAAGATAGAGCTGACAGGGTACAGAAAATAACCGCCTTCAAAACAGCCAGAAAACCAGTATGTTCAATACAGCAAATTCAGGATTAAAGAGCAAAACACTGCCTTGATTAAAGCTGGAAGACATCACTGTCCACATGTTGTCGTCAACCTCAAAACACAGCAAAAAGAATAGGATAGGACGAGAAGAGTGCAACGACATCCACAGACTTAATAACTCAAAAACAAAGAACAAGGATGAGGGAATCTCCACACGTCAGCCAACTCGGAGCTCAAATCCCAACAGACAGAGCAATGAGAAAGGATCTGTCTTGATAAAAACCTGGAGCACACACAGCCTTGTGCTGCATCTTATTAATACACCTTCAACTACAGCATGTGAACTTCAGACCACATCCATCCATCTGTTTCAGAAGTGACTGATAAAATCTCTGGTTCTGCTTGCACAGAATTCCACTGACCTGCACAGGGACAAGAAGAGAAACAACTGACACAAGAAGAAACTGGAATACGTCTGAATGTGCAACAAAAAAAACCCTCAACATGCAGCACATTGTGAGAAAACAATTACCCCGACTGATACAGGACTTTTGAGGCCTTTACCGGTATTATTTGGGTATGAAAATACTCGTAATATGATTTATACCAATCCAACAGCTTGTAGTTTTAACCAGGACCTTACTCAAAAGGCATGAAAAGAGCACATATGTTGTTATATATCCATATAGGTAATTGACAATTTATCAAAAAATTAATACACCGAAATAAAACGTAATTCAACTGCATAATACGTAAAAAATCCATCACATTGTTTAATTATTTTCCAACAATTTACCTCATTTTGTAATGGTTCTGGTGAGCTGGCAGTGTAGCAAAAAATGCAACACAATCTCTGAAACCATGCTGTTTCCATGACAGCCGTCACTCAAATCTGCTCATATCAACAGTTTACGAACTTTACGTACGTTGAACGTTATCACCCAGGGGGCGTGGCCTGTGAACTGCAGCGTAAATCCCTTCTTAAATACAACAAAAACGCAGCGAAATAATTGTTCAAATTCACACATCTTTTCCTACAAACTACAACATGAGGTGACCCGTAGTGAAAATACATAAAAACAGTATTAATGTGTCGGTTAGTCAACTAGTCGTAGCAGTTATGGACAAGACACCATTAAAAAATGTAGCTAGTTTAGCTTCGCTAAGCTAACGCTTCGTTAGCCACCTAGCTGTTAGCTGGTTTTGAACCTCGCTTTGTGTGCTTAGTGTTGGAGCATGATGCACGCGAGCAGGATGCACGCTTTGAGCTCGTGCTCTCCTCGCGGTGTGAGTGTGTCACTGAGCGGGCGGCCGCTGCTGGATTCTTACCGAGAATTTTTTCAACAAACACAATTGAGGTTTAACTCATGAACGGTGCTCTTTTTCTTCTTCTCTCTCTCTGCGGTGGTGGCTCCTGCTGGTGTTGCTGCTGCATGAAATGTCGGCGCAAACACCGCGATGACAGACGTGATCTCGCGAGACTTCTCATTATGCATATATGTTTACTTCATTCCTGTTTACATTACAGTTAATTCACTTTACAATTAGTGTATTTGTATATTTTATGTTAGTTCATCACTAGATTTATGTAAATGTTTGAACAATTTTGCACGTCTGTAATTGTTGTGCATATATATATATATATATATATATATATATATATATATATATATATATATACCTTGAAACTGTATTTGTTTACTTTACAGTGAAAGGACACTTATATGTTTGACCTCATGAAATGCAAGAGCAAAAATTGTGATAATGGGTTTAATAAATATGATTACAGAATAAAATATACTTACTATACAAATATTGGTTATATACATGTATACTATATAATGTAAAACAAATAGTATGGATACAAATTAGTGAGGTGAAATGTATGTATATTGCTTCTGCTGGTGTTTAGTGGACTGTAACAATAAAGTGATATTTTTGAATAACACTAACACTTATATAACTTACGTATTAATAATAAAGAAGGTGCTTTTTATTTTTTTGTTGTGTAATTGTTTTTTATTGTGTGTATATTATTGCTTGTTGAGGTGTGTATTTGTGTTCAGGCCCAATTATAGAGAGGCATCGCAAACTAGCTATAAATGCTGTAGTATGTAGCATTTGTGGTTTGTATAAATAAACGTGATATAAGAGTAAAAAAGGAAACAAAACTTAAGTTCATTGCATAACCAGGAAGCAGCACTTTATTGGATTATAATGATTGTATATCATGAAGAGTAACAGTAGATGGAGTCTAACAAATGTGATGGAACATCCAGGAACACAATACAAGACTTTGAAAACCCAGTTATCAACAGAATATTTCAGATTGTCCTCGACAACCTCAGTAACACGATGGTCTCAGTTAGAATGTGAGACCGGACCTCATCCGTTGTGGTCAAATCAAGTGTAGTGTTGTAGTACGTTCCAGACTTTAACAAAACTAATCAAAGTACTGCGGATGCTAACACTGCTGATGAACTGACTTGATGCTGCGGTTTACGGAATACTGAAACCTGATGAAGAGGAAGCAAAACTGAGAGGAGAGTGTATCGCATGTGAACAGAGCAGGAGACAATCTGTGTATCACCAGCTGAAAGATTCTGACTCAAAGACGTATTGGGAATGTTAACTGGGTCACGTTAATGCGGTGCAGAAGTTCAGATCAAAACCCATCAACAACAGTCCAGTACGCCCCAATCAATCACTGGAAAAATTGATTCGTTATCATTCCTACAGGATCCTGAGAGAGACAAATGAAGTGACGAGTAATAAAGAGCAGTAGAGACATGATTATAGATCAGTAGATTTACAGCCTTAGCTTTTAATAGCTGAGCATTAATCCTATAAATAGCTTCTTATTTTATTCTAGTTGTGTGATTATGTCTTTCCCCTTGCAGTAAACCACTTTTTACTGCATCAGTAATATATATATTTCCCTGCAGGTTTCACAGTTTCATCTCTTATCATATAAAGTAGTTCATGGTGTTGTATGCGACAGGCTGCACTTAAGAGATCCTGTTTCATGTGACCAAGTTCAGAGCTGGATTAGTGAACCCAGAGATAACTGAAAGTGAAGCCAGGTAAACCCAAATAAAGATAAAGATGAACTGACTCTGTGATGGAGGACCGCGGGGTCACAGAACGGCATACAACAACCTCCGATCAACAATCTCCTGACAGAGTAACAAAGGGAGCTTCTAAGGAGACACGGAGCTGCAGTTACAAACAGACTTCAAGTCAGACAGGAAGTTTGTGCGTGTTTGTGTACAGGAAGGTAAAGCTAGTACATTCCCAGAGTTCCCTGGGAATGTATCGTCATCATCATCGTCGTCAGCCAGGAAGTGGGAGGAGTCTAGTGCTGCGTCCACTTGATGCTCTTCAGATCGATGCCTTCTTCAACCATCTCCCACAGAGGACTGAGAGAGAGAGAGCGAGAGAGACAGAGAGGTTATTGGACAGTTCCCATAACTCTTTTATCATTTATAACACATTACAGACAATATTGCCATTGACGGATAAAGTGACGCACCAGTTTAATTCTGATTTATACAACTTGGGTCTTATTTTCATAGCTTAGTCTATCATCATGTCTATCAACACTAACAATATTTTACCCAATAAGTAAATATCTGAGATCTGGGAACACATTACTAACAGAAATCATAGACAACGATATCGAAATAAGATCTGAATTATGGGTCCAGCTGAACTCACCTCATCTCTCTGAGCCGCGTGACCTGCGTGATACATTTCTCTGCTGTGTAGTCCACCTCTGCTTCTGTGGTGAACCTGCCAATACCAAACCTAACACACAGACACACACAGGTTTACTTTAACCTACATGTGATGCAGAGAATCATCTCCAGCTGCTGATGTTCAGACAGATGTTTCAGTCAGTGTTTCAAGTTAAACTTGATCATAATCAACGGGGTTAAAGTGAGGATGTCAGTGTTTGTACCTGATGGACGAGTGAGCGAGGTCTTCATCTGTTCCGATCGCTCGGAGGACGTACGACGGCTCCAGAGAGGCTGACGTACACGCACTGTGTGCACACAAACCAACACTCAGTCATCTTTCATATACAAGAAAAAGTTGTTTCTCATCAAAATACACTGTGTGCATCCCTGAGGTCTAACAAACACGCTGAGAGGAAATTCATTCCTCATAAATCATTTGCAAAGGGAATTATTAAAATATTTAAACTGTGCATTGTTTACATGTGTGCTAACTTGCAGTCAGTGGAATGTGGAATAACAGACGGCAGGAATGTGAACCATGCTGTCTGCAATAATACATGTGCATCTACATGAACTGTTAAATGAACATATATAAACATAGTTTGACTAAACAGCTTGAGTCATCAGGAGCACCGGCTCCAGATAAAACTTCAGGCCTGTTTCAATTTCAACAATTCAACACAAGTGTGTGTCTGACCTCCCAGATGACAGAGCGACATCCTTCAGCGCCATCAACAGACTCTCTCCCTCCACATAAGCAAAGGACAAGTTGACACAGCCTGAAAAGCACACAAACAGTCAGATGAGTCCATCTGCCTCGTCTACTGTAGTAAAACGTATTTGACACATAACACAGACCTCCAACAGAAACCTCTTACATTAAACATGTTAGAACATGTGACAGTGGTGTGACAGTGTGTGTGTGTGTGTGTGTGTGTGTGTGTGTACCAGCGTAGCGTTGTTCTGCATCTCCGTTCATGATGACGTCAGGAAGCTCAGACGTGAGCTTACGGACCAGACGATTAGCCAGCATGGACACTCTGTGATGATCATGCTGCACATACAAGCACACCGACACACACACACACACACACACACACACACACACACACACACACACAAACACAAACACACACAAACACTTAGTCCCAAGATGTTTGGATGTTTGTTGACTCTCAGGATGTTTGGGTGCGTTCGTTTTTACCTCCATCTCCTGCTGTGCAATGCTGCAGGCGGCTCCCAGCCCAACAGCCAGCGGGGTGGGGACGGTGCCGGAGCGCAGCCCCCTCTCCTGCCCGCCACCGCTCTGCAGCGGCTCCATGCGCACTCGGGGCCGGCGACGCACGTACAAAGCACCCACACCTGTATACACACACACACACACACACACGCACACACACACACATACACACACACACACACACACACACACACACACACGTCTAGATCAGAAAACTCCATGTGACAGTGTACAAACTGTGGGACTGATGTTGAGTTTCATTGGGTCTTCTATCATTATACTACTCCATCAAAGCAATGGTTTCCTTGCAAATGCAGCAAACACATTTCCTCTTGACTTCTGTGAAAACATACCAAGTCTCCCAATGTTTCTGAAATGTTCGGCGCTGACTCACTACCTTCCGTCTTTTCGCTTCTGCCATGTTTTACCGATTCAACTAAGGTGAATGCGTTCATCGACTTGTAATCAGTGTAGGTCGAATAGTTGTTCAAATGGTTCCAACTAAGAAGAGCAATGTAGTGCAATATATTAAAAATGTGCTCAAGACACATTCTAGTCTATTTTATTTTTTTTATTCATAATTTAGGGGGATCTATTGGCAGAAATACATGAATGTTTTCTTTAGTATCACCTGAAAGTAATAATCGTTGTGTTTTTGTTACCTTAGAATAAACTGTTTATATCTACATACAGAGTGAGTCCTCTTCACCATGTTGTGCCGCCATGTTTCTACGGTGGCCCAGAACGGACAAACCACACACTGGTGGCTCTATGGAATCTGTTGGTTGCAATCTGCAACCTCACCGCTAGACGACGCCAAATCCTAAACACTAGCTCTTAAAGCTGCTTTCTTCACTTTTAAATGCTATTTCAGCTTTCAGTATTTGTATTTCAATTGCAACTTTAACTGTTTCAGGTTCTATTTCACGTTTCTTTTGGAAAACAAGTCAACAGCCACGTGTGTGAAACGTGTATCTAATAAACTGCCTCATCTTGTGTAATGAGCTAACAGTTTAGATAGCATCTACAGTGATGCTACGGCTAACCTTTAGGTCCGTAGATCTTGTGGCCGCTGATGGACATCAGATCAACCTTCCAGTCCGTGACGTTGACGGGAATCTTTCCGACAGCCTGAGCGGCGTCAGTGTGGAGGAAGACTCCTTTAGAGCGACAAATCTGACCTGTGTACAGGAAGAGTAAAGATCAATCAATAGCTTTGATCAGAACACTACATCAGAGACTACAGTGGTCAAGGTGGTCTGCTTTATGCATGAAACACTGTGTACATGGTTCAGAAATCAGCAGCCTGTTGCACCAGCTAAACGAAACTTCTCTCTTAAGTTCGGGTGCAAAGTCTCACTGAACGATACGCTGAAACTAGTTTGTTTGATACTGAAGCTTTGTCGATGTTTGGTTGCACAAAGCATCAAGAATAGTTGAGACAACAACAGTGACGTTGAGTGGTGAAACCGTCAGCTACAATACAATAATATAATATAACAGACACATTACTAGTAACGGGCAGATGAAATAACAAAAACCATGATGCAATGTTTACCAATCTCCTTGATGGGCTGCTTGACTCCGATCTCGTTGTTGACGGTCATCACCGACAACAGAGAGGTGTCAGGACGGATCGAGGCCTCCAACAGCTGAACACACACACACACACACACACACACACACACACACACACACACACACACACACAGTTTTAATACACACAATAACTTCTGATCTGAATGTGTTCACTCTGTAGGTTCGCCGTGCGTACCTCCAGGTCCACCAGTCCGTTGGGCTGGACCGGCAGGTAGGTGATACTGAATCCTTCGGACTCCAGAACTCGACACGAGTCCAGCACACACTTGTGCTCCGTCTGCGTGGTGATCACGTGACGCTTCTTGGTCTGGTAGAACCGGGCCACGCCCTGCAGGAGAGACGGGGTCACTACTGAGATCACAGAACTGGGTTCTAACTCCGTGAGGTGGTTTATTTTTCTGTAGTTTCTCCTGTTCTCACTGGGTTCTCCTTCTGTGTTCTGAAGCTACTTCATCCTTTTTAGTTTTTCAGTCAATCCAGTCTCGCCAAAACATCACTTTTTTCTGTTGTTGTCATTTTAAACTTTAACTCAAGTAAGATACTCTGAGGCCTCCTGACTGTGCTCATTGTATGCTGTCGTTGTTATTGTCCGGATATGGAAACGGAACTTCTGCATTAAAAAAAAGAAGCCTATAATATTTTGAGAGATATTGTGGTAAAAGTTTATTTTCTAAACTACATTTTAGTCCTGTTTTCTGTCAGCAATATTGCATGTTAATAGAGTCACAGTTAGTTGGTATTTTACTAAATGATCACTGGAAGTTATCTAACCAGGAAACTAAAGTAAATGTACGAGGTAAATAAACAGCAAAGAGAAAACAGAGGGAAGATCGGCCGGTTGTTGTGACTGATTAGCTCCAGCCCGACTGGCTAGCATGTTAATAGTGAGAGGAAGAGGAAAAGGAGGTGTGTTGAAGAGGAGGAGCAGAGTGAGACCTTGATAGCCATGTTGTTGGACTCGGTGGCTCCGCTGGTGAAGATGATCTCTCTGGGATCTGCTCCAATCAGATCAGCCACCTGCTGCTCGGAGAGAGAGAGCGAGAGAGAGACAACACACAGTCAGTGTCTCTCTCTCAGATTCACATTTAATGAAATGAGTTGACAAATTTCCCCTTGGGGATGAATAAAGTATATTTCTATTCTATTCTATTCTATAAAAACCATGTGTCTCTCTACCTTCCTGGCCACCTCCATGGCGCTCTCGCTCTCCCAGCCATAGGCGTGAGTTTTGGAGTGAGGGTTACCGTAGTAATTCACCTGGTAGGGCAACATGGCGTCCAGCACCCGGGGGTCCTACACACACACACACACACACACACACACACACACACACATAAGTGTAAGTGTAAATGTAAATATGCAAGTATGTGTCTGACATCAGCTGGTAAACATGGATGGTAAAGGTTACCATGGGCGTGGTGGCCTGGAAGTCCATGTAGAGGGGGCGGGGCTCATTTTTCTCCAGTTCATGATTCTTTATCAACTCTGCAGCAAAAACAACAACAACAACAACAACAACAACAGAAAGACCGTCAGCTGGTTTTAATCAGATCTGGATGATGCTGGACTGAAATACTGAGTCACATACTGAGTCATTCGTCAACGGAGTCTCTAAAAACGATTTACTTTACACAGCAGCTGGATTCTCGCGATGTCAGGAGATCACGAGAGAACCCAGGATAATGTAGCACGCGAAAATCTACTTGTACCAATGGACCAATCAGCATCCTGTGAGGAGCTACAGGTAGCTAGGGAGGTTAGCGCAGATGCTAACGTAGATTTTCTTCATTAAAAAGAGCAAAGAACTATAGAAGCCCATCTACGCCACTGTGATGGAAAAATAAAGATCCTGTAAATCATTATGAGACAGTATCTCATGAGATACTAAGTCATTATTATGAGACGCTAAGCATCTCATAATAATATTTTTAAAAAGCTGGAAACATTTGTCACGTCTGTCTGATAAAATGACTTAAACGCTTAATTAATAATAATAGTAACTTTATTTATTAAGTGTCGAATTAGTTGACAATTCAATTTGCTGTCACTGTACTGTTATTATTATTAATAACAATAACAATAGATGTATTATCATTAATAATACTAATACTAATGACAGTAAATATATTATTGATAATAATAAAGTTATTATTAATAATATATTATTAATAATAATAATAACTTTATTTATTAAGTGTCTAATTCGTTGACAATTCAATTTTCTGTCACTCTACTGTTATAATTAATAATAATATATTATTATTATTATTATTATTAATAATATATTTATTATTAGTAGTAGTATTAATAATAATAACAACAACGGTATTATCATTAATAACAATAACGTTATTATTAATAATAACAATAACTTTATTAAGAGTCAAATTAGTTGACAATTAGTTTTCTGTCACTCTGCTGTTGCTATTAATAATAATAACTTTATTTATTAAGTGTAATTAGTTTTAATGCCCTCTTCTAATCTTACAAACGGTTCTTACGTCATAACTTTACGTCACTCGGGTTTATAGGTGTTGAGAAGTTTTCTGTCTCCGTGCTAAACTGCGTCACTTTAAGATTAGCTTGATGCTAACTGCTCCTGTGGCTCTAAATAATCCGACCACCAAATTCTGCTGTTGTTACCTTTGTGCTGAGAGCTAGCGGCTCTTCCGTCAGAGCCCAGCCAGATGCAATGCGATGTCGAGCCCAGCCTCGACATCGGCCTCAGCAGCCGGGAAGAGACGGTCATGCCCGGGGAAAGCATCTCTGGACGTCTGGTTTTCAACTGGAGACGCGCTGTGACCTCCAATAACAACAACACACAACAACAGTGTTCACCGGTTTAAACCAGTTTAACCTGCTGGTTCCTGTGGAAGAAAATAAAGAAGAGCACTCCCTATTAATGTATAAATGTTACTATTGAGTTTGAGGTTTCGTTTGAGAAACGTTGCCGCCTGTATGTTGGAACCAGGTTATAGAACCACGGTCAAGTTATCATGCTAACGAGGAAGAGTTCCGGTGATGACTTCCAAAATAAAATATTTCAATAAACTAGATTAGATTAGATTAGATAAGTACTTTATTAATTCATTAATGTTGTATTTTTTGCTAGTGAAGCATTTTTAGGTAAAGGTAAAGCAAAGCAATAAAAATAGTTTAAAAAAATATTACATTAAAAAATGCACAATTTAAACAATAGAATAGAATAATGTTAAATTAACTAACTAAACAACAGTGCAAAGATTCAACAAACAAACAACAGTGTAACGGTGTTATAGTCTTGTGAATGATTTGGCCAAAGGTGATTTATTGTAAAGATGTATTAATGAATCTCAACGTTTTCTTTCACGAAAGTTAAACAAATATAAATGTTTTATCTATTTTTCTGTTTAAAAAATATTTTTAGGTTAATACTAAAAAGTAATGTAAGTTTTGTAATCAAAATAACATTTTTTTGTTTTTACTTATTCTATTTTATTTTGTTTTTCTGTGGCCATTTAAGCAGCATTTCCTGTGTCTCTCTGTAACTTGATGCAACGCGGTGTCGCTGCTGTTTCGCTGTTGCACAAGCAACGGAAACAGGGGGCGGGACTTCCTTTGACTGAGCTCTCATTGGTCGATATGTGTTGTTTTGGGCAGAACCCTGTCAAGGGCTCTGGCTTTGGGCAGATTCTGGTACCTTCCTGATTGGTTAGAGCTGGGAGTTTATGAAACGTGGGTTCAGCGTGGGTTCCTTATAAATCATTGTGTTCTGTTGACTCTCACATTAACTTGTTCTTTAATCCAACACTTAATCCCTCAATCTCCCTGTAGTTATCATCTTTTATACCTCGACAACTTTACTGTATTTTAACCTCACTTAAAGTTATTGTTCTCACACTGTACATGCATTTTCTTGTTGCTATCGCACACAATTAAAATGTATGAGTACAACTATCTTTTTAATGACTCAGATATACAGTGCGTGATCTTGATTAGTTACACTGCTTTTCAATTGTATTATGTAACATGTCATGTGTTCCTCCACAAACTCACTCTGTAATTCACATGCAATTTATCTCAAACAAACTGTCAACCTTTGAAAACGTACATGTATCCAGTGAAGAAGAAGAAGAAGAAGAAGAAGAAGAAGAAGAAGAAGAAGTATATCAATAACTACTTATTATACTTTATCAGCTTGGGTAGCTTGTGAATCTTAATCTATCATAATGCATCCTCATTTATTTGTTGATCATATTTTGTATTATTAATCAGAATCTGCAAAATAATACAATATATTCATTTATATATAACATAGCACAAATAGTCATTTGCTTACTGCAGCTGCCCTTACAAAGTACGCAATGTTGCGTGCAGTTTGCATTAATTTTGGACAACCTAGTTCGTCATAACATTGCACCTTGAACTTTGAATCTCTTGCATATATAACTGCTGTGCAAAGGATTGTGGGCCACAATAGCCAGGTAAACAGGCTGTCTTGCATTCTACAAAAAGCAACCTTATGTTATAGAACATCCTGGTATTTCTGGCATCCTGCATTTCACATACTATGTATTGGGACATACTAAATATTTTTCTGGCATACTTAATAGTATGGTAGTATGACTAATGGAGCGCACAGTTAATCTCTGACCCACTAAAATTTACTGCACCTACATTAAATTGAATGTTGCCAACTGCCATTATAATCCAAAAAAGTAGTAGTAGAAGAAGAAAACTGTAGCCGTGCATTTGTGAAAAAGGTCATCAATGTACTTTGCTGCTCCTCAGGACAGGAGTGGGAAGCAGGTATCTCCACATATATAAAGGGCTCTCATGAGATGTGTCTTTGACTATATTTGCTTATAATTTACATGTCAGCAGCAGAATCAAACCTCAGCAGGTTCAATTCACAGCAGGAGATGGAAAACAGGCAAGAGAAACTCTTTGGCGCACAGTTCAGAACTACTGGATCAGTATTTTTTTTAGACTGTGTTTATATTTGCAGATGTCTCCAAAGATCTTGGTGCAAGGTGTGCAGGTGCAGCAGTTTATATCCCAGTGAGAGGATCACAAATTAAGAAAAGATTATCAGACCATTTATGAGAATATCTATTTGGCAATATGTTTGGCTCTGCAATGGACAGAGGAGGGGGAAATAAATAACACGGTTAATGCATCGGACAGTTTCTGTCAGATCATGAGCATGTTGACCTACAAGCTGCGTTACTCAAATCTGAAGCCAAGGCATCCATTAGGACACATTCACAACCAGTAAGGCAGGAGTATTGGGATGATAATGAAACTGGAAGACAATTTATATTCAGAGGACACATTGTTGCTGCAAGAAATATTAATATATAATAACACAGCAGTTTTAAGGAGAAACGTATTAAGCGAAAAGAAACCACACAAAAAAAGTATTTCATTCATGTATTTAGTTATTTTCCAGCATAATCTCCTGCACTTGCGCTCCAGTCCAGGTGGTGGCGGTAACGCTTCTCTTTGCCAACCGTCAAATCAAACACCAAAGAAGAAGAAGAAGAAGAAGAAGAAGAAGAAAGAATTAGCATCTGCATCCGGGCTGTTTGTTTGTGGTAGCCATGCCCCTTAATTAGCAAGCTAGTTTATTTTACAAAATACATTTATTTTCGTAGTTAACGTGATATAGAAAAGACGGTGGATGTCCCTTTGGGGTGAGGCTTTCACGCTCGTATAGTTTTATTTTAAAGGACGTAAACTGGGAGTGTTGTTCAAAGCTAACAAGCTAACATGTCAGCGTACCAATTGTCAGTTAATCAGCTCTGTGGTATTTACAACGTTTTTTAAACCACATACATCGCCTGTAGTGATCGTGAACGTTACATCGTTCTGTTTTAGGCGATGACTTTGTCGTCACATTGCATATGTCTGATTGTTTTAAACGCAGCAGCCGGACTGATGGCACGTAGTGTGTTACCCAGTGGTGGAATGTAACGTTAACTGTCGTGTAACGTTGGTTTTAAAGGCTGCATTACAGTTGAGTGATGTCATTTTCTGTCTAGCTGTTATATTATTTTCCTTTTCCCACTTAGTCATTATATCCACATTACTCATTGTGTAAGTGTTTTTTAAAAGCACCAATGATCAACCCTAAAATCGTGACTTTTGATTTTCTCCATATCGTCCGGCACTTCCTGTTTGTATGAGTGTCTCTTGCATGATGCTTATTGTCTCCACACAAGAGAGAACCACGTTTAGATTGCATATAATAAAATAACATTACATGATAATCAAGCCTTTTAAATCATGTAAGTTGTGATCGCTAGCTGGTTTTTGACTTCACAGGGGACACCATGCTCCTGGAGACCGCAGCAGCCGAAGATCCACGCGTTTGACCGAGAGGCTACCGCTGTCATCATGGGAACGACGACAAGCGAGCCGTGCATCTACGACAAGCTGTCGGAGAGCATCGACATCCTCCGGCAGTCGGGCTACCGCTACGGCATGTCGGAGAGGGAGATCGAGAGGTTCATCAAGCAGGTGCTGGAGACCAACGAGCCCCGGAGAGAGCCGCCACAGTTCCCCATCCTGAGAGCCACCATCAAGGTAAATATTACTCTGCCATAATCACGTAAAAGTACATGATACATAAGAGGATTTAGTTGCGTTTTATGCCTTTGTTATTGTTGTTAAATTCTTCTTCAGGTTTCAGTTTTTTTTAGGTTACCCATATGAGACTTTGGTGCGAAGTTCTTCTTTGTGTTTGCACTGTTTAATACTCTCTTTGTAGTACTATTCACCCACTGCAGCTAAGCAATAAAACAGTACAGTGATTACCAACTAAAATGAGTATTATTTTGGATGATCAGATTGGCTGCTGAAGTCTCACATTGGGCTCAAAATCGTGACAGGAAGCGATCATGTGACGGACAATATGGACAGGAGGTGCCACTAGAGCTATGAGAAAACTGATACAGATCCAACTAGAAAATACAGATTTCTTTCTTGCTGTAAAATAAATCACTTGCCCATTGTGGAGCATACCGGTTTATTTATGCTTTGAGGTCGGACCCAGCCATCAGCGTCTCACGTCCCCTGTTTGTCTCTGCAGTTCGTGGTGGCGGTGGGCTTCCTGCTGGTGGTGGTGCTGGCCTTCACGTACCCTCAGAGCGGCCCCCAGCTGGGTCTGGTCAACCTGGGCTGTTACAACTGGTCGTCCCCCCTCAGCCACGTCCGCCTGCTGTCCCTGCCCATCGCCAAGAAGTACAACCTGCAAGGTCTGAAGCATGAAAACACACTCACACACACACACAGTTTTTAATGAGGTATCTAAAGGGTTTGTTTACATGTGTGTGTACGTGTGTGTGCTGCAGGTTTCCATGAATGGTGGAGTGCCGGCTCTCTCAGGCAGAATCTGGTCAACTGTTCGGCCTGTGCAGAGATCTCCTCGGTACTGGAGGTCCCGGAGAGCCTCAGAGGGACGGTGGCGCTACGGCGGGGGCCGCAGCTCGTTTTGCTAAAGGTCTTGACTTGAAAGTTTGAAATCTCTTTGCTCTGGGTTATCGTGATGAGGAGCAATGTGTGATAAATGCCCCCCCATCTAACCATTCCTGTTGTTATTGCTGGTTTCTCATTGCCCGTACTGGTCTCTGCAGGGTGGGGAGTCCCTCAGTGTGCAGCGGCAGCAGCTTGAGGAGCTCTACTTGGCCCATTCAGGCTCCATGTCCATTTTGCTGGAGGAGGACGACAGTCTGCCGAACCATCATCTGGGCCTCCCTCAAGGACCCGCCAACTTCACTCTGCTCTGGTACATGTTTCTGTTCAAGGTGGAGGTCTTCACTGGTCCACTTCGGTTCTGAGGAATCCAGACCTGCATCATAATCACACTGGGACAATATTTCAGGAAAATCAGTAGTAGATGCAAACGATGTATATAATGACTGGTGTTGTGTTGGTGGTGCAGGAGGTTCAGCTCTGGGACCAGGGAGAAGGTGTTGAGGTGGCTCTTCCCGAAGGCGGAGCTCTGCCC